TACAAGACAGAGGGGTTCCCCCATATTTGATTAGGATTTTACAGTACTGGTATATACATCAATCTATACAAGTCAGATGGGGTAGGAATGTTTCGGCACCCTGTGTTTATGTGACGAATGGGGTTCGGCAAGGTGGAATATTATCGCCTCTTCTTTTTAATTTGTATATGGATGATCTCTCTGTTGAGTTAAATGAATGTAAAACTGGATGTGTAATAGGAGATAGCCTTATTAACCATTTGATGTATGCTGATGACTTAGTTATTCTGTCCCCTTATAGTGTTGGATTACAACAGTTGCTTCGTGTATATTCAAATTATGGTGTGTAGCATGATATTGTATTTAATACAAAAAGAGTGTGGTTATGATTGTTAAAACTAAAGAGGACCGTAAACAAAAGTTTCCCTCCTTTTATTTAGGTGACCAAGTATTAAATGTGGTTAATAAAATAAAATATCTGGATCACATTATTAGAGATTATTTAAATGATGATGATGATGTGCAACGCCAGTGCTGTAAGTTATACAGACAGGCGAATATGTTGGCTCGTAAATTTTACATGTGCACTGTTGATGTCAAAATAGCACTTTTTAAAGCGTACTGTACTTCATTTTATACGTCACACTTACGGTGTAGTTGTAGTAAAGGTAAAATGAAAAAACTACATGTGGCATTTGATGCATTAAAGGGGTCATATGACGTTGCTAAAAAGAACATTCTGTTGTGTATTTGGTGTAATGCAATGTGTTTATGCGGTTTAAGTTTCAAAAAACACATTATTTTCCACATACTGTACATTATTGTTTCTCCTCTATGCCCCGCCTTTCTGAAACGCATCGGTTTTTACAAAGCTCATCGGTCTGAAAAGCGAGGTGTGCTGTGATTGGCCAGTGCTCCAGTGCGTTGTGATTGGCCGAATACCTCAAGCGTGTGACGGAAATGTTACGCCCCTTACCATATTGTGATGCCGTGTACCGGCCGAAGCGACGAGACAAAAGCATTAAAACCCATTATAAACGAGGCATTTGTTGCATCCAGTGGGGACATAATTACGGATTATAATGACTTATACTATCTTTTAACGCGTTGCGTTGCATCATTGCGTCTGCATTTGTGATCAGAGAAATGACAAACAACAAGCGCTACTCTACACTGCTCGAGTTTGAATCATCTGACAAATACTTAAAATGAAAACGTACTTGCAGTCTGTGAGTCAGAACAGCTGGCATTGTAGTCTACTCTCCCAGGATCAGGAAACAGTCCTCCATAAAATGTGCTGCACACATCTGAATATTTGGGTTAAACTGTTCTGGAACAGTGTTGTAAATACAACTTAACCACTGATTTCTAGTCGTGTCCTCTTTTGGAAGACCAAACAAAGTAGTTTCACTTTCACAACGAAACACACAGCGTCACACACGGCAGGCTTGAGCGGAGGCCGGAGGCCTAGAGTGAGCAGAG